GTAAGGAACAGCAGATAGGCCTGGCTGGAGCATGACGTGTGTATGTGTGTGCGTGCGTGTGTGTGTGTGTCAGGGAAGACTGTGTAGACACAGGCATGGGGAGTGACGTGTGTGAGGAACAGCAGATAGGCCCGGCTGGCTGGAGCATGACATGTGGGCGTGCCTATGTGTGCACAGATGTGTGTGTTTGCATGTGTGCATGCGTGTGCCCGTGTGTGGGTAGGGCCGGGCTGTGACGAGCTTTCAGGGCCCAGCAGAGGAATTTCTCTCTGATCCCTGGTGGGGATCTCAGATTGCTGGACTTGGCGTCACAACAACCTGAGTTCAGGTCGCATAATTCCCTCGGTAACGCGGGAATGACGATCCCACTGCTGTCCGCGGGTTGTTGGCAGGATCTAGTGAGAGGTGAACGTGTAAAGGGTTGCTCTCTTAATGTGCGCTCTTGCTAATAATTCTCTTAGCGGCGTTTGGCAGCCCTGGAATGTGTGAGCGAGCAGGGTTGGGGAAGGGGAAGGTGGGGGAGACCCTGCTGTGTGCCAGGCCCTGCTCGAAACTTGTTTTGCAAACGTCTCCTTCCATCCTCATGACGACACTGCAAGGTGAGGGCTGTTGTTATCCCCATCTTACAGTTGGGGAAACTGAGGCAGGCAGGGTCGCCTAGCTAGTCAGTCTAAGGTTTGAACTCGGGTCTCGCTGACTCCAGGCTGGCCCTCTATCCACTGAGCCACCTGAAGAGGAAAGGGCTGATGTCCACCTGCTCCTGGTTGGCTTAGCCTTTCTGTACCACACATTGACCCTTGGCCTCCCCCTCTCTGCCTCGGTTTCCCTCCATCTGCTCAAACTTCTGGCAGCCCTGCCCCCTGGGAGTGCCTCCGAGGATACCTCGTGGCCCCAGGGAGGTCCTGGCTGAGGTGGCTGGGGGGAGGGCCTTTTGTCTCCCCCGGATGCTCCCCGATGCCCCCCAAGTTACTGCCAGTGACTGGTCAGGAGGTTTGGTCCATGATGTGAGGCCTAGAAGGGGCTGACGAGTTTCTAGGACGTGATGGGAGCCCAGGGGCAGGGGTCCCACGCTTTGCCATCCCTAATCGCGTTGCTGCCCCGAATTCCACAGGAGACAAAGCATTATCTCACCGTGAACCTCACCACCCTGCGGGTTTGGTGTTATGCCTGCACCAAAGAAGTCTTCCTGGAGAGGAAGTTTGGGACGCCCGTGTCCCTGCCGCAGACGACAAGGCCACACCCCGCGGCCCCGGAAAGCAGCGTCCAGGTGGGCCCAAGAGATAGGCCTTGTAGGTGCGGTCACTTAGAGAGGAAACATGGGAGGTGAAGGCAGGACGCCGTGCCTGCTCTGTGGCCACAGAGGGGCTGTGCCCAGAGCTGCAGCAGAGGCTGCCTGAGAGCGCCTAGGTCATGTGTGCAGACAGCGCCAGCGTGTGGCGGCGGGGTGTGTGTGCCAGCCTATCTTCATTTAACTTCTGAGACCGTTTAGTTAGGGCCAGAGCCCGTCCTGGCCCTCTAAAGGGGAAGGGGAAGGGGAAGGCACGGAACAAGCCTTTGTAGAAGGCCTACTGTGTGTCAGTCACTGGGCCAGCCAGGATCCTGAGGGGGCTGGGAAGTGGCAGAGGCTGGATTTGGACTTGGGTCTTCCTGACTCCAGGCCCAGCGCTGTGGGCACAGTGGTGCCTCTTGGACAGTGTGAGAGGGTCAAGGAGAATGAGGACTGAGAGATTGGGGGGGCTCCTCACGCCCTAAGGGCGGGCATGTAGACTCTCCCGTGGCATCGGGCACTTCATCCTGGCCTCATCGTGGTGCCCACCTCCCGAGGCTGCGTGAGCTCGAAGGTTCTTTGTTTTTCCCCCGCGGAAATAACTGACAGGAGCTTCTAAAGAACATGTTATCATTAGCCCCGCACATCTGGGTTTCCTCTGGTAGCCGAGACCCAGCCGTCTCATGGGCTGGGGAGGGCACAGGGATTCTGCCCACGACGGCTGGGCCCTGTAACTCAGAGCTCTGCTGCAGCCAGAAAGGCCGGAGGCGTTTTGGGATGATTTCCTTAACTCAGTCATACTGTGTAGTTGGTGTTGTGCAAAGCCCTGGCCCTGGCAACCGTGCCCTTGCACTCAGTAAGAGCCACCTCAGGGCTTTTTCACTCCTAACCCTAACCCTACTCTAGGACTTAGCAGGTGGTCTCTGAGAGTTGCTGTGGCTGGAGCCACGCCTAGCTATGACCTTCTGTGACCTTGGGCAGCAGCCACATGGCTCATCCCCTTTGACCTCATCCCCACGGGGTCGAGCTTCCTCTGCGCTGTCATCACATGGGATGAAGCCCTTCAGGAGTATTGGGGGATCCATGCCGGGCTTGGGGTGTTGTGTGGTCTGTCGTGGCTGCCGACATCAGGTAAGATCTAACGTGTTTCTTCGTGGTTTTCTCGGAGCAAGGACTTTAAGGTGCCTCACCCTACCCTCAAGACTCCTCTGGCCGCAGTCTTGGATGATCTGGACAGAGATGTGGAGGAAGAGGACGCACTGAAGGCGAGAGGTAATTCAGAGGGTGCCAGCACTGCTCCTCTCCTGTCTCTGAGGGAGTTCTGGCCATTTTTGAAAGGGAAAAGAGCCGTCCACGGCTCTGTGGTGGGGTGGCTGGGTAGGAGGGGCCTGGCTGGTGAAAAGCTGGGCCATCTCAGGAATGCCGCACAGCCCTCGGCAGAGGAGTCAAGCCTGGAGCCAGATGGAAAGGTCATTTGAGAAATAGTTAACAAATAAATAAAAATACATTGGTGTCTAGATGACATTAGTTTGTGGCCCCATTTCCTTTGACTGAGCCCACTGGCCCACAGCTTAGGTTCTTGCCCTTGGGTTTGCTGGCTTCTGTAGCTGTCTGGGCAGACAAGCCCCTGCTCGAGCAGGACTGCACAAAGAGCCCCAGGCAGTGCGCCGGGCTTGCTGCAGGAGGCTGGTAGAGCTGAGCCCCTGGGAGGGAAGCGGGGAGGCATCAGGACCAACGTGGCCTAGAAGACAGGCGTTGAGGTGCTGAAATCCCTGACACGAAGCATAATTCATCCTGCCCAAAGGTGGAAGTGGATTTTTAATGGAATAGAGGACTTCCAGACATTTCTGATGAAGACACTGGAGCTAAGTAGGGATTTTGAAATGCAGACATGAGACAAAAGAAACCTGAAAAGGGAAATGTGTTTGAGCAATTAGAAGGGGTTGTAGAGTGATGGAGTGCTAGCTTTCTAACAGGAGAACCTTGGTTATAAGAGGTTGTAAGAAAAGCTGAGGCCTTCGGGCTGGGCTGGTTCTGTTCTGAGGGTCTGAAGAGGGAGAAGAGAAGGGAAGGTAAAAGGGGATGGCAGAGTTCACCAACGTGGAGGAAGAGATGGGGTGAGTGGGTATCTGGTGAAGTTTCCTCTGATCCAGAACAGACAGAGGAGGAGTGAAGGAAAACGTGCACGTCTTTGGTGTAGAAATACATCAGACTTGAGATTAGTGGAGTGTAATGGAGAAGAGAGGAGGCGCCATGAGCAGACGGTCTTCCTGATGCTGTTGGCGGAGGTTAAAGGGAAGAGAAAAGAAGGAGAGAGTGTCCAGATCCTGAAAGGGACGGAAGACTCTTGCGCCCCCAGAAATAACCATGGGGACGTGAGAGCATCCTGGGGGGCGTGGCCTGCCAGAGATGGAGTGAGGACGCTTGACACGGTATTGGCAACTCTGTTGAGACAAAGGACTCTCGAAGGTGGAAGAACTCCATGAAGGCAATGGCTAGTCGTTCCCATGTCCTGACAGAGGCGTGGGATGTGGGGCGCCCGAGGAGACACAGCCTCTTCACTAAGCATGTACGTGGCAAGGGAGGAGAGAAGCAGGTGTGGCAGGGAGCCCGTGGAGGCCAAAACCAGGACCTTTCAGGGGCTGTGGTTGGTTACTTTTTATCTGCTTCCTGTGTCCCCATGTGATTTAGGGCTCCCCCGCCACAATGCAGCAGTGTAGCCACTGGGGCAGGGCTGGGATTCTGTTTTGGGCCTGGCAGGAGGTCTGTCAGGCTGCTGTTGGCCATTCTGTTGCCCAGGAGACACAAGAGAAGGGCTTTGTGGCCTCAGGCCCTTGGATGTGGCCACCCAGGTCCCTCAGTGGACGCAGCCGTCCTAGCTCCTTGCTGACGTGGCCACCCAGGGTCCTTGTGGACACAGTGTCCCACGCTCCTCGCAGACGTGGCCACCCGGGTCCCTCGGGGATGCATCCGCCCAGGTTCTTCACAGATGATGGCTGCCCAAGCTCCTTGCAGACGTGGCCGCCCAGGGTCCTCGTGGACGCAGCCTCCTGAGCTCCTCCCAGAGGTGGCCACCCGGGTTCCGTGGCTAACGTGTGGTGGATTCTCTCCCGTTTACACCCTGACCAGCTTGGCTGGACTTGACATGGCCGGTTGCTGAGCGCTTGACCCTGATGGGGCTGCTTTGATGAGGAGTACGCCTGGTCACGCAGCCATGTTTTGGGCCGCTGAGTTCATTGTTGCCGAAATTGGAGATTTCCCTGGCCTTGGGTAGCGGGGCACGGGGCAGCGTGGCACTGTGCCGGTCACATCTGGGCAGCGCTGCTGGTCTGCTCTCGTTTCCTGTCCTCTGCAGGGTTTTTGATTGTGTTTTCCTCGGCTTCCTTATGACGTCGCTCATGTTGCTTCAGTTAGCCTGTAAATTTAACTGTTTTCCCCAAACGTGGCTGAAGAGCTTTGTTTGAGGTGAGCCGGAGGATGCTGGATGCACGCGACAGACATTCACAGGAGCGCCCAGAGGAGGACAACAGCCAGGAGTCGGGGAACCTGGAGAGCGCAGGGCGCTCTAAGTCAGCCACATCTGGAGCGTGTCCAGGGCATGCTGGGCGTTGGCCAGGGCAGAGGCCCTGAGGTTTAGCTTTAGCTCCTCACAACCAATAATTCTTTTACTCTCCTTCTGTTCACTGTGGCCAAATATGCTGGACTTCTGAGGATTGCCAGGCCTCCTGTGCTTGCCAGTCAGTGGGGCTGTAGATGGAGCGCTGGGCCTGGTGCCAGGAAGGCCCGAGTTCAAATCCTGCTGCAGACCCTGCCTCCGTTTCCTCCTCTATGTGTAAAAGAAGGGGCTTAGACTTGATGGTATCTCAGGCCTTTCATTTTTAGTCTCCCCTTTCCAGTCCAAGGGGCACTTTCCTTGGCAGGAAAACAGGCCCACAAGACACAGAACTGCAGCTCTCTCCCTCCACTGCCATGTTCTGCTAGACTGTCCTCACCAGCCCAGCCCCTGTGCCTTGTGGGGTCTCTCCCACATGCCCCCTTGCTTCTCGGCCACTTCCCCAAAGAGCGTTGGCTTGTCGGCTCCTCACTCCAGGGGGTGACCAGCTCCCCGCGAAGGTCTCCTACTCCTTGCCACCCGTCCCCCAGATCCAGAGAATTTCTCCTTGTCTTTGGGCTTGGAGCCATGGATGAGTTCCTCTGGGCCCTCGTCATTGCTGCGCCAGGCTTGGTGACCTCTGTCCAGCTCAGCATTCAGGTGCCGTCTGACGGTTCATCTCGGTTCCCACGTGGGGTCCCCGACTACCCCCCTTCCTTCTCTCCTCAGCCCGTGGGTCCCCCTTTTCTGGAACCTTCTTGGGGTGCTGCTCCTCATTCCCCCTGCTCTGTGGCGCGGGGCCCCGTGCTTTCGGAGGGCAGCATAGGAGACTGCCTCGTTGCCGTTTGAATCTGAGCTGTTTCTTTTTTCTTGACAGGTCTCACGGGTCTGAAAAACATCGGCAATACTTGCTATATGAACGCTGCTTTGCAGGCTCTTTCTAATTGGTGAGTGGAGTGTGTGTGGCTGGGCATCCCTCCCTCCCTCCCTCCCCACACCCCATACGCAACAGCGAGAGGAAAGGAGACGTCGCAGGGCCAGGGGCTCGAAGCGGGGCTGAAGCGGGAGGAGACCCCCTCATCAGGACAAGGGGCCATGGGGCTGTGAGCCTGGGCCGTGGGCCAGGAACGGGAGTGGAGACGTGGACGTGTCATGTCCTCCACGGACTCGCTGAATTTTCCCTCTCAGTCCTTCTCTGCCCAGCAGATAAGAGAGACTCTGTGTCTCCCTGCTGTCTGTATTTCCGGGTCTTTGCAGGCCTGGGCTTCCCCTTCTCATGCCTTAGACAATGCCCAGGGGACAACCCCAACCCCCCCCCTCCTCCCGCCTTTCTGCCACGGGGTCCCACACGATCAAGCGTCTGCTCTGTGACTGTCCCTACCCTTGAGGAGCTGGGGTGGGGGGTTCTTCACTTTTGGGGTGTTCTGGACCCCCTCTTTGAATGCTGACTTTAAATGCACAGGATTATGAAAGAAGCCCAGTAGATGGGATTACTGTCATCAGAGGATGTAAAAATCAGGCCCATGCACCCCAGATTAAGAACTCGGGGTGTACACTTTGTGAACAAGGCCATGGGGGTGGCAGCAGTGGTCGCGCCCTGTCCAGGGTCTGCCAGAGAGACGATCTCAGTGTCTTCACACCTGGTCAGCGGTCGGGCAAGCACAGCAGGTCTCACTCCTTGGCACCGTCTCCTGGGGAGTCGCTGCCCTCGGACCCTCAGCTCACTCTCTGCCTTCTGCCCGAGTGAGATCCCTTCTCGGGCCAGGTCACGCTCCCTAAGGGTCAAGGTTAAGCTCCTCTCCTTGGCTTGGCCAGCATGTCACACCACATTGGCTTCCGTGGGACGTGAACCAGTTGGGAAGCATCGGCCCCCAGAATGGGAGCCCGGCTCTCGCCTTCCAGACCCTGCTCAGCCCATCGTGGGCTACACCCCCTTCCTCCACCCTGCTTCCTCCCACCACTGTCCTCCGGGGGCTCCACAAGCTCTGCCGCTCTCCCCTCTCCGCCAGGGCCAGTGTGAGGTGATTGGGACCCTCATATCCCCAGGCACCCAGCAGCCCCCCTTGCACACACACGTGTGCACACACATACACATTCGTACGCACATACACTCATACACATTCATACAGTCACACACGGAACACATGCACTTACATTCACACAGATACACACACATGTTCACTTGCGTTCACACACACTTACACTCCTACACACAGATACTCACACATACACCCACACACACACATTCACTTGCATTCACTTACACACATTCACACATATGCACACACATTCACTTGCATTCACACACACTCTCACACACATATTTTC